CCGTCGCCGCGCAGGCGCTGCCTCGCGCGTGCCTGGCCTGCCTGCGCTGAGCAAATTGTTGCTTTGAAACCTCCTTGTAAATGAACGACAGGTGCTTCTGACTAAATCCGTTTAAACACTCGACATGAAGCCAAAGCTACTGTTAGGGACCTGCTTAGCCTTCTAGATAGATACTCATGGACTTAAAGTGGGAATTTGGTGGCGTCTGGCAGCACAGAGAGCCAGCCTGGGGTTCCAGGTTAGCAAATAAACTTGGAATCAGCGTCTGCTATAAATGTTCAGGTGACGCTTGCACAGTCTGTGTGGCTGGATGCAAGTGAGTCTGAAACCCTGGTGGAATATGGATTGCCAATGGTTTTATAGTAGAGAAACAATTTTCTTTTAAATAGTTCCTTTGCGATAAAAATTGGGGGGATTTACTGCGTGTAAACATGTTATCCGTCCTTCAGAACAATGTAGAAAATATGTTGTATTTAAAATACACCTACAGGAAAGTAAATTGAGAAATGCAGTTTTTCAGCTGAAAAAACTGAAGGCTCTTCATCTTTCTGAAGTTTTGATATATTTGTAAATGTCCTTTGACTTAAATGGTTCCCCATAAATAGAAAAACAGGGAAAATTTAATGTGCGTATACTTAGCTTTAGGCTTCAAACTCCAGTTTGTGCTCCCTTATGCCAGATTTAATTTCTTTTCTTCATTCCTTCAGACAGTTAAGACGTACGGAGACTGGACACTTACAGAGGTGCCTGGAAATTAGTACTTTCTCCAAGGAGTCGACCAATTAATTTGCAAAGCATGTTATAAAAGGTAAGGATGAGCTTTTGTTATATCAGGACTAATTCCCTGGAGCGGCCTCGAGTTCCTTTCCTCTTAAAAACAGGCCTTCTCAAAGCAGTAGGTGCTTGAGTTTAGAAACTAGTCCACTTTTCAAATGATATACACTTGATAATCTACTAGGTTCCTTGGGATGAGGCTGGAGAAAGTAGTATCCTGATCTCAGTAAACCCAGTACTGGCTGACTGGTATGTCATGTCCTTTTACATGGAGGAGAAGTAGAGAAATACTGTCTCTGCAAGCCTCAGGTATAGGTTGGGGATTTAAAAATATGTATAAATCCATCATAAACAGTAGTTTTTTGGTGAATAGTGAATTTGCAGTGCCGGAAAATAGTGAATCATCAATGGCATATAAAATAATAAAATGGTGTTGAGAAGAGACCAAACGTAACATAGAATCCGAGTGACTTTAGTATGTCATGTAGAATATGGTAACTAAAATATAATACATAAAGCATATATATATCAGATACGACGTATATGAAAAATAGTTAACAAAATATGTTAAACAGCATATAAATGCATGTATCTTAATTACATATATAATAAATGCATGTATCTTAATTACATAAATCATGTGTACTGAAAATTTTGTTAATCTGTTACTCACATTTTTAAACAGTACATGCTTCAGATTTCCTCTCCATTCTTGATCTCAGTAAGTTTGCAAGAACCCTTTTTTTGGGTGCACATACCTGCGCACTGTGCATGTGTATATTTTCCTCTCTGAAAGTGTCACTGGTCTTTATCCCTTTCATTAAGTGGAAATTGGAATATGTAACACTTTTAAATATCCTCCAGTTTAACTGCAGCTTTGCTGTGCTTCCTGTGTGTTTGCTGCAAAGCATGGATGTTTACAATATCTTTTCATCAAACACTCTTCCCTACTCAGAACAATGAGCACTGTATGTGAAGCAAAATATTACTCTCGGACTTTCTGCTAAGTTCATATCATTCATATTTGAGTGGAATGCCCAAAGTCCATTGTAATACTCTGCTCTTGGAAGGAACACTTACTTGACTGTATATATGTCTGATGTTTTTGCCTACATTTTTTCCTGCCATTTTTATTAGTTTTGGATTAAATACACTCCAGTTATGTAAGGTGCTGAGCGCTCGCTCCATTCGCAGCAGCCAGTGGGTTTTTATAAGTGTACTCAGGTACCTGATGCTTCATACTTGAAATTTCAGTCTATGTTCTGGAAGTTCCCAAAACACCTCTGAGATTCCAGTAAATTCTACATTAAAAGAAGGAATATCAGGGCTTGATGTCCATAGCAGAAAATAGATTTTTTAAAAATAATCCTTTTCAGAACACCTTTGTACATTGTAGTAAACCATGAGATAGGAAATTCTTCTCTTCCTCTTTGGAGGCTGTCTTTAGCACATAAGGTGTTGTTCTTTATTCTAATTATGATTCTGATCTTATATGTGCGCACAGCTTGTCACAGCTTCCATTCTTGCAAAAGCAGCACAAGAAATACATGATCTGTTTCATAGAAACTGAAATTTCATAGCCACAAAAATCTGTACAGAAGTTTTCATCATTTATCTTAATTTTCTGTATACATATTATCCGTTTAAAAGCCATCTAACACCAGAGGAAAGTGATAGTATGTTAGGCTGGAAGCAGGCTGAAGGAACTTGTTCTCACAGTTACACACTACATATGAAATGAGCTTTCATGTTAGATGAGTTAATTTCAGCAACACAGTTTCCTTTCCTGACTGAGAAAATATGGCTCACGACATACAACCTGTTTAAAGATCCTCCCCTGAACCAGTTTGCAGCCAGACCTGGTAAGTACCTGATTCATTTTGATCTTGAGAAGGTAGATTTTCCTTCGGTTGTTCAAATGAAGAATGATTCAGCCATGAAGATTTTTGAGCTTCCCCCGACATTGCACTGGCATTCATGCAACTCCATAGGGAGAACCAGAATAGACTACCCACAGGCATTTTTTCCGTCATGTGTAATGCAGATCCCCAGTTGTTCTTTTGGCAGCATGGATTGAACCCAGGACCTCTGAATCTCAGAGCGCGCTTGTTACTTGAACTAAATGCGTCCATAAACTCAAACACTGCAGGTGGCTCATAAATCTATCTCGCCCCCCAGAGAGCAAGTGTGCGTGTGAAACCATGGGATATGTATGTTAATGCAAGACCTACATAAGAGGAGTAAAAGTTCGACTTCCCTGTCCGCACTGGTTCCTTATGACTTGTATCACAAGGGCAATCGCTGGCCAGACAGAGATAGTGCCACTGAGCCTAGCTTTAAGGTCAGTGAGGAGAGCAGAAGAAAAAGCCCTACAGAGGGGAAGCTATTTGCACTGGGCACGAAGGGCAGAGAGCAGATCTGAGTAACTGTAAGGTAAGCAGTGGCAGGGACTGCATAGATCTGACAGGTGAATAGGACTTAAAGGGAGAAAAGCAACAGCAGGGGAAAGAAGGCATCAGTTAAAAAGATAAGAAAGGTTAGACGAGTCATTTGTTGCTCTGTGCCTCTGTAAAACAGCAAAAGCAATACTGTCACCTTTGAAAAGCAGTTTTAGAGCTGTAGAGGAACCATGCTATGCAGGAGCAAACTGACTTTTTTCCTTCTGTTACCATTCTTTTTCTCCGTGCTGTTGGTTTCTCATTTTGAAATCCAAGGCAGAGATGTGCAGCGTGCTACTGGGTTGAGAAATTCTGCCTCTGTGCTCTCCTGAGGCTCTGTGCCTCAGCTGCTATTATTACAAAGAGAGTTGGTGAATGAAGGTGGTGAAGATAACAAGGCTAAGTGTAGTAATTTTGAAGGGAAAGGGATCACTTGTTTGAGGAACAACTAGTTTTGTACAGCCCCTTTTTTGTTACTGGAATGTTAAGCCCTATATTTATTATTATTTTACTAGCCCAAATATCATGTGTCTCTTCATGTTTCAGCAAAGAATGCCTGTATGATAAACTGCTTGGAATTTCAAGCTTTCATATTCTAAATGGCAATTCTTAACAGTCTTCAGAGGTGTATTTTTGTGCCATGGAAGAAGGTCCTGGGCATCTCTAATCTATAGTTTACGGAGATACTTACTCTGATAAATTGACCGTATTCGGAAAGATGACTTGGCAGTCTTGCAGCACTGGAGAGATAACCTCTCTTAGGGGTAATTGCAGAGTAGTATTGAGAAAGTGCAGTATCTAGTGCATGTGACTTCATTTTACAGCATCCCAGTCTTGACACATTATGCTTTTTTTCAATAACTCCAGATTCTGCAAAATGTAGACATCAGTCACGTATTGTGGTTATCTATTCTCACCATTCTGAATTATTTAAGGCAGAAATCATCTGACTTTAGACATCAAAAAATTGGGCATCTAATCTAAGATTTTTGTCTAGGAGCCTTCCATTGTCAGTAGAGAAAGCCGAGCATAAAGTGATTCATCAGCCTCTGCAGCTATTTGTCTTCTGTTGACGATAGGCAAGGTATAGACAGTTACCTAGGTGGCTAAAGCCAGATAAGATTAATTCCTCCCTCCTCAACCTCAGTGAATTTTAGAAGTAAGTGGGAGCTAAGGGTGCCCTTCTCTGTATCAAGGTGTGCGCTCACTGTGGAGTCAGGAAGGAATTACTTTTCCCTGCTTCATTCCCCAGCCTCATAGGTCCTTTTTCCACTTTGCCCTGAGACAGCATGTGTCAAATATTGTCTGAGGCAGGATACAAGATCAGGAGAATTGTCACAATCTCTTCAAACATACTAAGGCCAAACGGGACCATTTGATGATTTAGTTCCACCTACAGAGTGCAGGATTTTGATTTACCTCCAGAGTTTTAAATGATCAAGACCAGATTAGAGTTGGGTGTGAAAATAATGACTGTTCTGTTAAACTGACTCTAAACTCTCTTTTATAAAAAATGAAAAAATGGGTTACCAGTGTGTCACTGGTATCACCTGATATTTTGAGACTGGTTTCTAAATTAGAAAATAAGATCTGTATTATAAGATTAAGAGAGCCACTATCTGAGATAAAAGCAACATATTTTCTGTCCTTTAAAGAAGAATCAAGTAACTTAACTTTTTGAAAGGCATTTTCAAGTACACCTCTTTATCCTGTTCATCATTTCTGCTACATGATAAATGCATGTCTGTGGACAATATAGGGCATAATATATTATGCTTCCTCATATTTTTATTTGCATATTTACAAAATTCCTTTCCCCAGGCAGTAAATCGTGTGATACTAATGTAATCTGTACTCTAGAATCTTATTGACTTTAAGATGATTAAACAGTTGCAATAAAATATATAAAATATTTCTGTAAAATTCAAGAAAAATTAATACAATTGAAAATAATTTTTTCTCCTCATAATAACTATCCAAGTGAATGCTTATTCTGCACATACCTGTATTTTAAAACTACAGTGGCATTTTCAGTTGCCAGGTGGCACAATATGACAGAAATGCGCTATATGTCTTTTGTTAAACCTTGTCATGGCACAACTTTCTTCAAAATCTTATTCAAGTTTCTTTTTCAAAAAAAAAAATGTTAGTTATGACTGATTTGCAAACAGAGTTTCAGGAGTGTGAAGTTGTCATGAACTCCTAACCCTATTAGTCAATTAGACAGACTAGCATGATTTTCCACTGTGACACCTCTGGCAGGGTCTCCAGAGGGAAATCCTTGTTGAGTCTGGCGTCGATGTAACGTCATGCTGTATAACATATGAGGGGGAAGCATCCGTATTTACAGGTGGATTCTTCAGTGTTGCACCTGCAATATAAGCAGAAACATCCTAAGTGTCCACATGTGTATTTCAATTTTTTATTCAACAATATATCGTTGAAAGAATGAGCGAAGGAAAATAGCTAATAACAGAAATAAAAACAGGCTACCTCCAGAGCGCAACTGGGGCCAAATGTTACAAGCAATGTTATAAGAGTTTCCTGTTTTGTTGATTCAAAGTGCAAATAGTGTTTCGGTCGCAGAATACTATAGTACTCAGCACCAAAATCCAGCCCTTTCTTGGGCTCCAGTAAATCTGTTACTTAATGAGCGTCAAGACATCTACTGCCAAACAGACATTATGCCCTTACAGAGCAGGGGGTACAAATGTTAAGAACAGTGTATTTGCCTTGAGCTCTGGCACAAGAAATGCAGTGAGAACTCCCACTCAGCCAGATCCCAGCTCTTATTTTGCCCTGTTTTCAAAATGCAAGGCACAAGCCCCAGTGTAGTTGCGCTGCACACTTCAAAGCCTGACTCTTTGTCGGTGGGACAGGAAAGGAGTCTTCTGTGCTTTTGAGGACATGAGACTTGTCTGAAGTAACTTGTCTTCTTTTCACAAGATGCCATCTGCATTTACCTGTGAGTGTCTTTTTATCAGGAGTTTTGTCATTAGATTTCTGGATTTTCACAGGATAAGTAAAGCACTCTCCAGAGCCCTCGCCCCTCCTAAAATCAATCCCAGAGAATCTTCTTGTGACATTGACAATGCTGGAAGTTCATTTACAATGGGAAGTATGCTATCACATGCTTGGGATAGTGTAGCTCTGCTCAACAGACAGGTTTCTGTTTCTGTTCTGGCTGTGTCTTGGAGCTGTGATAAGTGAAGGATAATCGATTAATTGATTAAATGTATCAGCTGTCCTCTGTGTTTCACAGGAGATGGATGCAGTGGGCGATCGATGGGAAAAGAGACACAAAATGAGATGGAGGCTGAATAATGGTACATGAGGAGAGGGAAATTGAAGGGAATCGCACCTTAAGTTACCAGTTAGAAAATAAGATCTAGCCACACTGTTTCTCAAGACCTCCAATGAGTTGGCTGATTTCATGGTCACCCTTTGAACATGCTGTTGGTCCCTCGCTGCTCCTGAATATTATATAGCAACCGAATGGGGCAAAGGCTGCAGAAACTGGGAACTGGAGAGGTCTCCATTTTCTCCAGCAAATGTTCAGATTACTAATCCTCTTGTTTCTGGATTATGGGACTGTTTTTTCACCCAGCTGTTACATGTTTGCTGCTTCCAGTAGTAGTTTTTTGCAGTGCCAGTTCTCTGGTTTTTTCATTTCAGTTCTTTGGAGTCCTAGTAACAAGAGGATTTAAATGGAGAGGGCAGGTAAAACTTAAACCACAAAGTGAAAGAATTGAATTCTAAGTAAGTCTTCTGTCTGAGGAATGAAGGGTTGGATATTTGGTGCATGGCTGCCTCTATAGGCCTTTGATAATCTCTGGAAACCACCATCTTAAGATTTTACAGCCTTATATGTACCAAGTTACCATATCCATTAAGCATGTCGCTAGAGTATGTTTGTGACAGTGAACACAGCAGTATATAATGGAACATAAGCAGAACATAGGAATACCATTCTTCAGGTTGATGTGTGAATATATATTTTTCATTATTCTTCCCAGCAGTGCAGCTCAGTAGTTTCTCAACCTTTTATAGAGGAACCTTCCTCGGTGGACTGAAGATAGAGATCTTCACCTTGTTCTCTTTGGCTTCTGCAGTTCACCACCAACTCTGTCTTGCCCATCTTCCCTCCCGCCAGCCCAGTCCTCTCAGCCTTCCCTTGCTCTGATGCTGTCCTGTTCCCTTCCCGTCCCATCTGGGCCTCTGTTGCTGGCTCTAACAGCTGCAACACTAAAATTGAGCAAATAGGTGCAGGTGGATCCATCTCTTTCTCTCTGGAGTTATTCATGCGTCACCTTGCAGGAAGCCGGGGCAAGCCTGGCAGAGTCCTTTGCCAAGGCTCACCAAAGTGGCTTGCTTTGTGGGTTGGAAACCACTGATTTATAGAAGCCCAGGATTAGATTTTAAATCAGGTGACAGAGGAAAGAATATGCCCACTGTTCATACCGACATCTCTCGCAAAGGAACATCCTTAGGTATTCCTGAAAAATAATACCACATTAGCTTAGGTGGACCTCTCTAGTATATTGAGACTTAATAGCTTGTTTGAGTACGAGCTCTTGCAGATGTCATTCAGAGTATGGCTGTTTCTGCACTCTAATTCCTTCATGTCAGCCGCTAATATCTTCCTCTTGCAAGAAGGAGGCAGCAAAAAGGTAACTGTGCAGGCAGAGGAGTGCTGTCTGCCTGATGAACAGAGGGTACAGTGTAGGGGATTCCTGGGAGCGGACTCATTTACCAGAGTCACCGCTGTACCAGCAGGATCTCGTTCTTAGCATGTTCTCAGTGCAAGCTCTTAAGCAAAAACAAGTTATTCTCCTTTATTTATATTTCAGCTCATATAAATGGAAGACACTTCCGTTTTCCCTCAAGGTTAAATTGGTTATTCTTACTCAGAGACTCAGGCTTATGGTCCACTGTATGCAACCAGCCTGTCTGATTTCCTAGGCAGCAGCATAAAAGGCTAATGTGTGCCCCTGTTCCAAGTGACTAGGAGTAGCTACATTCCTGACTGTTCTCCTGACCCTAGCAATGCTTCCCAAGCAGGAAGGAGGCCTAATCCTTTGAGAAACCCGAACACAAATACCACAGTAGTATTTGAGCGGCCAGCAAAGGAATTTGTGATATTCATAAGCTTATTGCAGTTTATTATCCTTAATCTGGAGACTGTTTTTCCATGCACTAAAAGTAAGTGAGGAACCGATTTGCCTCATGTAGCACTGTGCAGCCTGGAAACTGTTAGCGTTTCCAGTTATTATGGCATGATATAGGATTCCCTCACGGGACGCAAATCAGCAGGACTGCCAGTGGAGCTCTGACATCTAGTGGCTGATCTTTCATTTTTCAGGCCCTAGATACATAACCTTACTGTGCCTCTAGAACAGTAGCCTCAAGGAGCAGAGCCTTGATGCAATATTTTTGCATGATAGATGCCCATGGCTGGGCTCTGTATGCCGAGATTGATGAAGCCAAGTCAACTGCAGTGAGGAGTTTATCAGGTAGACTCACAACTTCAAGCATTCCTAAGACTGTTGCTCGCAAATGCAGTTTCTTTGCCACACCCCAGCCATTCAGGATGCTTGCTAATGATGAGAGATTTGGCACCTGAAAATCCCCACATCACCTGAATGCTGACAGCGGCCCCAAAAAACAAAGAAGTACCTGGAAAAAGGATCTGAAAAGCTGCTAGGTGTGAGGGCATTCCAGCTGTTTGCATTGCTGTGATCTTTTTTTTCTATTGAACGTACTCTACTGGGCTCCCAGTGCAGATTTCTAAAGCCTCATCCGCTGTGAAAAATCTCAGTAAAGTCCTGTTGCCCCTGTGAGGTAAGTATCATTTCCATTTTATAGTGAGCTAAACAACAGAGTCAGGGTGGTGAAGTACTTACTCAAAGTATTACAGGTCAGTGTCAAGAGTTAGTAATAGGATGCAGAAGTTCTCAATGTGTATTCCCTGCTCTGAGCCCTGGAGCATGCTTCTTTCTCCTTGACAACCCAGAAGACAAGGACGGGAGAAGATATAAAGCCTTTGGTAGCAACTGTGAGAAATACCGACCATGCAGATCCGACCTGGTGATTTGCATTGTTAGGAACTCAAAACACAGCTTGCAATCAACTGAAAAACCATAAAACATCTGTGAGCATCTTGGCCTTGAAAAGACTACAGAAAGGATTTTGATAGTTCAGCACATCCAGTGTTCATGTCCTGTTTATAATGTGTCACCTGGCATAGGCTGGCTGGTACACTATTATGGACTCAGGAAGTTTAAGCCAGAAGGACTTTAATAATTATGTTACTTATGCAGTTAACTCATTTTGTGAAGCAGTGTGCTGTCAGCTGGTGAGCACAAGGTGGCACGGCAGAGCAGGAATACCAGTCAGGTGAACAGAGCGGGTTGCAGCAGGGCAGTAGATCTGGTGCTAGCCTTTCAGGTCAAAACAGAGTGCTTGGGAGTGCAGGGTCTCCAGTCTGTAATTTCCGAGGTCACCTGTCATCATCGTTACAGACTAGTCCAGTTCCCTGGCAGAGTGTTTGACTTGTTAATGTTTCCTAGGCAGCTTATTTCATTTGCAGATTCCCTAGCATTTGTGGGTGAATATCATCTCAGCCTTTACTGACGTTATTTAATTAATCCTTCTAGTAACTCTCCTTTGTGATTCAATTTGGGTGATACCTCAGCTGTACCTGCCAGCTAAAACTGTGGGATACTCAGTGATGTCCGAACTCTCAGTTCCTTTCTTATACAAGCACATTCGAAGATCTTTTGTTTGTGATGAGACTTTTTCTTTCATCAGCTGGATTTCTAAGCCTCACTGTACATGCTTTGAATTTTGTGATTGTTTTTCTTTTTGAACCTTATTCTTTTTGAATCTTACCTTACCTTTTCCAAATGTTATCTAAGAAATATAACATTTGTAATCTTTTGTTCACTGCAGCATAGTACTGGCCCTTTAAGGCCCAAAGGGATACTGTGCAAGATCAGTTGCTCATGTGCCTAAGGCAATTTGTTTAAAAATATTTAATGTAGCCTTTGCTGGGGAGAAGAGTGTCTTGGGAGCTGTTAATGTCGGGGACAAGCTAAAATGTAGAAGACTCGGGCCACTGATCCCTTAAGGGCCTGGGATGAAGAATCTTTTAGTAGGGCAATATAAGGTCTCTATCTTGTCTAGGACAAAGGTATGTCTGTGTTACAAGCCTCAGAATTCAGGGTGATTAAATGAGTGAGCCACATATCCTGACAAAGACTGGGCTAATGTGGACTCCCAAACTAGCAGAAGAGGCTGCTGATTGCATTTGAAGGGGAACAGGAGAGGGAGATTCTAAATCATGGAAGTCAGGACTAGAAAACTAATGAC